CCTTCTCAGAGCTGGAGTTTCTGAGCTTCGGCCTCACACAGCAGCCCTCCTCCCCTGTTATTCCCACCACTCAGCTCCTTCAGACTAGCCAGCAGCAATTAGCAAACATCTGGTGGAACTGCTGAGCTAATTATAGGAGCTACTGCTCCATGAAATGCTGGTAAAAACGTTGTTAAAGGGTTAATAGAGGAGTCATGTTGGGATGACTTCCTGAAGTCAAAGCTTCAGAAAGAGCAGGAGCTTCTTAAAGAGACAGATGCCCAATTTCAAGTCACATTTCTTTTAAGTCATATTTGATATTTACAGCATTTTTATAAAAACTGGGTGTAAAACAGTTAGTTTATAGTCTTATAAAATGACACATTGTTCCTGGACAAAACATGATACTGCCCCTTTAAGATACATTGACCTGTGTTGTGTGAAAACCAGAAGGGTTTTCCAGTATATTTGGAGGGCAGTGTGATAAAGAGGACGTAACAGATTTATTAGCTGTTTTAATGAAGTAGCTGTGTTTATTGGCGGAGTGTTTAAAGCTGCTGTCTGCTCCGTCAGAGTGTCCGGCCGACCTGAGCGCCCTGCTGTCCGAGGCTTTTGTCCGGTTCTTTGTGGAGCTGGTGGGCCACTATCCTCTGCACATGGTGGAGGCTGCCGGAGGAGCCAAGGAGCTGCAGAGAGAAAGCTTTCGCAAGTCTCACCCCTCACGCGGAGTCCGACAGTTCCTGCAGCTCTTCATGGAGACACAGATGTTTGCTGGCTTCATCCAGGACAAAGAGCTGCGCAAGGGAGGAGGGAGAGGTGAAGATGTTCACAACCACAGCAAAACTCATTTTCAAGTGCTCAGTTTGTGTCCTCTAAAACAAACCAGATTTTGCTCATATAAGTTAAATGAAACTCTCTAATGTTAGTTGGTAGTCAGACAACATTTAGTATCAATAAATAACAGGAACTTTATTATTATTAATTTTTATGTTTCCTGCAGAAGGATCATTCAGATCCCACTTTATTATTTTCTTGTTTCCCCAAAATCCACAACATAATTAGTTGTGAGGAAAAAACATGAGGGAATGACATTTCATATGAGATATAATATTCTGTCTAGTGTCTAGTAATTTAAAGTTCAAAAAACAGCTTTAGAAAGGCCAGCTATATATTTAATGTTTTCTAGAGGTGTGCCAATTGATCAGCCACTGATCATAATCAGCTGATTTCCATGAAAAAGTGTATGGTAGGTCATCGCGGATCACTGTCTCTTGTTGCCGATCACCTAAACCGATCCCCTGCATCTCACATCGCAGCCTGCGATGTGAGATGCAGGCTGCGATTCCTTGAAATTTCATTATCAAGGAATGAGAATCTGTTTCAATAATAAGAGAAAGATTAATCTTTGTCTTTAAGTTTCTTTATTCGAAGGCAAAAGCGTTCGAAGACCCTTCTCACTGAGCGCAGTCAGGAGAAGAGCCCCGAGCAACACGCATCACATCGTTATATAGTCACAGCAAGACAAAGACCCTCCCAAAGTCTGATGTTATCTCTACTGCCAGATGGCCACAGAGACACCCTGACCCCCTCCTCATGAACTATCTCTCACCTCTTGGAGGAGATGATTTTATGGCAGGATGGAGAGCTGATAAGGATTTCAGGAGGAACTTCTAACACTTCTTTGTCAGTTCATGGGTTCAGGTCAAACAGGGTACAAACTACATTTCACACATCAGCCCTTCAAGACAATTATCAGATCAAGCATTTTACCCAAGATGTCTTCAGGTCTCTTCTCCTATCACGGCTGCGGAAACATCTAAACATTATCTGCAAACTTATTTAATGGACAAACACATCTTGCAGAAATACAAAAACAAAGCAGATATAATCAGTAAATAAATGGTAAAAAGTATCATCAGTTCCTTCAAGAATGAAATAAGACTGAAAACGAAATTTTCTATTACA